CAATCTTTGCAATATTGGCAGGTCTCAATCAAGACGACGGATCTTTCGCGTATGCAAGGGATTATCTGAGAGCCGAATTTCATTCTGATGACTGTCCTGATGGATTTTCTCCCGGCGCCTGCGCGTGCTTGCGGCCACTTATAGTTGGAGAAGATGACGGCGAAAACCTTGCTGCAGTTTGGACACCTGGAGTGGCATGAGTTTCCGAGCGGATGATTTGGCCAAAATAATAGACCAATGTGCTGTATACATCGCGAGGCACTGTTCGGACTATGCTAGATCGTCAGGAGGCTGGGTCTATTTTGGGGATCTGGTGCAGAAGTTATATGATGACGGTTTTACTGTCCAATCGTGCGCCTTGGCTGCACACAGCTTAGCTGTGTTGCCGGCGGAGACAATTAATGTTCTGGGGATTTCCCCCAAAGACAGCCCCAGGATTGCTGGAACACTAACTCACGCTCTATGGGACAAACACAATAAAAGATCTCTACAAGAGATTAATGGAAGGGAAATGCCCATACCGATATTCTATAGGGCATGTCAGGGACATTCAACGTTTACCGCTTCGATTGAAAGAATGTATGTCCCGTGCGACCCTGGCCAAGTCAGGAGTCACGGATCTCTTCTACATAGTACGAGCCTACAGGCATTTGTGGAGTCTACGAGTGGAAATGTTTGCTTTTCAAAAGGCAGCTCTGGGCTGTGTCATGCCGCAGATAACGATTTATTGCGTTTGCTTCCGGCACACAACTGCCCAACTATGCCTGACCCCATCGGATTTTCCTCCATGGCTAAGCCAAAGGAGATATGGACAAGCGCCCACTACAAAAACCGCAGCATCTATGGGCAACCAGGCTCGGGAAGGGGAACCGCCAAAGGTGGGTACCTTGAACGTGGAAGACATGCGCCACCTCTGGCCATGTCTCCCCAACCTCAAGCATCATGAGCAATGGGATATGATCCTTGTTTTCACCGGCAGAGTACTCGCCCGCTTCTCGTACAGAGCATGCCCAGACGGGACATTGGTGCCCCGGGAGGTACCGAGGTTCACTGACATCGACAAAGCCGTCCCACTCGTGAGGCAAATGAATCACATACGCTGAACGGTACTATTTGAACGCGAATTATCTTCGTGCGAGGTCATCTTCGACAACGCGTCGATTATTGCTTGGGTTAATGCAGGCGAGAGACTAATTATTAATTGGGACCACGAAATAAGAAGATTTGATACCTCGATTCAAGATCGAATCATATCTACCCCATGGGATGACGATGGGAGATTCCTTTGCTTCCGTTACCACTGGGCGAGGACGGGTTGTGCCAACTGTCCCGCCTGTAATTGCCCAATCCGATATAAATATAGGGTCTCACATGATTACATGACCCAGACATGGAAGTACAAAACTATCCCGCATTCCCTTGAGGCACATGGTATTTGGATAATTGTGGAGGACGAAGGATCTCTGTCATGGGATCGTCGTGTATACATGGAGGCGCGTATAAGGAGACAAGGGAGAGCTTCTGCTAACGTTGCGAAAAACGTCGCCAACAACAATCAGCAGGAGCGAGAATTGGAAACCAGCTTTGCCACAATGGCGGCTGCTTGCACAATCTTTGGCAACAGTCAGCAGGGAAACGTTCCAGCTTGGATCCCAGAGAACGCCGAGGCTCAGCCTCCGGCGCGACACGCTCCTTTCTTTGAATACTTAAGGCCTTTGGTCGAGCGATTTATATCGTGGCTAGAATACTCGGCCACAAATGTACACAGGCGAACCCCGGCTATTAACAAATGGTGGCCAAAATTGTGGGCGACTGGTTTTGATCAGTACGCTCGCCCCGGATCCTGCCCAGCACTCCAAGCATTTCAATGGCCTGATGAACCTGATGACTCGATCACACCTAGGATTGGCTGGGCACAATGGTTCAACAACATGATGAGAGCAAACCTCTTTGTTCCTACACTTGCCACAGTAGATGATGCCATAAATTTTGACATGTCATGGTTCGGCGTATTTCCTGAAGGTATTGGAAACAACACCAACAATGACAACCCTCCTGCGAGGTTACCGGTCGCCTGGGAGACCAACTTTAGAGCGCGACCGACTCGCAGTTCTCACTCCGTGGCAAGACGGGTCGGCATGTGTCGGGACCATCGTCTTATAGTTCCCGTGTTGCGACATGCTTCCGGCTCAGCCGCGAGGGCGCGAGAACAGACGCAAAGGGATCTGGACCTCAAAGAAATCAGCGGGCCTAAAGGCGCGTCGATAACTGACGGACTCCTTGCACTTGACGGACCCGAGGGACACGTGTACTTTCATCATGAGGACCGTCTGATTAAAATAAGATTGTTCGGGGACGAAGTTCGTGACGTTGCCGCTCATTACATAATTGAACACACGGGAATGAACCCTACTACACCCGGCAGGGTTACCCTGACTGGAACGGAAGATTATGCGATCCCGGCGATCATCAAGAAAATAGTGGATGACAGTTGGTTAGTAACAACACAAAACATGGAACTGGGTTTCCGACCCATACGGATTTTTGTAATTATTCGTGAGATAATCCGTTATCTTATTTCGGAGGACCACTTTATTGGTTACCCGGGGCGAATCATTCGTCCCGAAATGATGAGCACGGATGAGATCGAATCGAAGAAACGAACCGACGCACATGCCTTGGACTGCCAAATTCGCGCGGCTGTTGAGACAGACGACATTATAGAAACATGGGCCCACAAAGTGGGCAGGAAAGTACATAATGACGTGCCACGGTGCTGTAATACAAGAGGCCATAACTTGGCTACAGGATAAGTATCCTGACCCCGGTACCGATCTTCAGGACAAGGAAGATGGTCTTTTCCGCACTGCATGCGGTCTACATGGTGTCGCTGCAGCAACTGCTGCCAGAAGTATATTGCAATTTATGAACGGTCGGGATAATGACCCTGAGCACGACGGCGAAGCCGAGATCGTGGGGCCACGTGTGCCTGCTGGACCAAAGGCAAGACCATTGTCTCGCACGCCGTCTCTTCGACCTGGCATCTCAAATGCTCAGGCGTCTGAGGAGGCCACTGGTTCTCCGCGTTCTGTCGCCGGCTCAGCCGTGCCGACCAGAGACGCTAACCTACAAGATCCCAACACGAGGGACCGGTCGGATTTGCGACGCGCGCGCGATGCAGCCATGGATGATGCCTCTGCCGCGGCCGCCGATGATGCCGCCGGCCTTGTGCTGCCCGCGGCTGCGGACGCTGCCGCAGGCGCTGCCTCGGATGCTGCCAGCAGCGCCGCAGGACACGGCTCCACATGCGACCCCGACCAGTCCTACCCGACCCACGTGACTGGAATCCTGGTTGGATATCACCTCCATCGGAACAGGACCACGTGGCTTAATGATGATGAATGGTACAATTTGCCTTACTGGACCTGGCTGTCAAAGTGGGAGCATAATCATCATTCCCCGCCGAGAGATGCGACACAGGCTGGAAATAATGACAGAGAGAGAGGGCGATCTCGCACGCCTCGTGGCATGGACGTACAGACGGGAGGATCGGCGACTTCAAACCCGCCGCCTTCGGCGCCGCCAAGGCGAGAGAGTTCGTCGAATCCGTGGGGGGACCTCAACTGAGCGCGGCCCGCGTGACTCCGTCCGCGGCATGCGCACACCAAACACTTCACCCACGCGCTAAGCGTGCTGGGCGCGGACCTCTCTACTGGTCGGCTAACCCGGTCCAGCGGAGAGAAACTATTTATAGCTATAGTGGGAAACGTCGAGCCTCTTCGGCCCTTGGCCCCCTGGCAGCCACCGTTGAGCCGTAAAAGGCTTTTTGGGGTTGGCTCCGGTGGCTGTGCAAATTTACAGGCCGGGGGTGCTGTGGCTGGATGGGTTCTACGCGGCCCGCCGCGGGGGGAGTAAATATGCTCCTCTCCGCCTCATACTCAATTAGAACATAACTTAGATTGCATGCAATGAACTGTCCGCGTGAACTGATGCTGCGTTTCTGCAGCTGTGTAACTGCTCAAACCAGCCGACCTCGGCTGGCAGGAGAGAAAAGGAGCGCGCTGGGGCGCGCGGGCGATTCGTCGTCGTCCGTCCTCGGCCTTCCTCCTCCCTTCATATTCCTGATAGAGTGGTTTAGCTTAACGGACATCTGTCTTATCAATGTCTCATCCCGCCTCCGCTCTCCCTGAGCAGAGTGAACATGAGATCTTACTTCCTTTGTCATCTTACCCCGATTCTCAGAGGAAAGACCCCACCGAAGGCCCAAGTGGGGGTGCCCGCAGGCGTCCGCCACACCGGGTACAGCGCTTCGTGGAGCTCCACCGAAGGCCCCAGTTGGGGTGCCCGCGTGCGTCCGCCACACCCAGTATAGCGTTCCGTGTCCCCGTAGGGAGCTCCACCGAAGACCCCAGTGGGGGTGCCCGCATGCGTCCGTCACACCCAGTGCCGCGCTTCGAAGCCCCATAGGGAGCTCTACATCAGGTCCCAGTGGCGCAGCCCGCACGCGTCCGCCACACCCAGTGCAGCGCTTCGTGGCCCCATAGGGAGTTCCTCCTAATGTCCCAGTGGCACAGCCCGCATGCGTCTTCCCCACTGGGCACAGCGTTACGTGGCCCCACATGGAGTTTCACCGAAGGCTCCCCTGACGCAGTCCGTATGCGTCTCCCCCAGCCAGTGCAGCGTTTCGTGGCCCTATAAAGGGGGTCCCACAGGCGACGATACTTACAGCTGCGGTATTCACAACTGCATATGGCTGGGTCCTTCGCCGAGCCAATGTTTTTGATTATTTTTGTTTGTTTGACGATTGTCTTTTCGTCCACAATCCGCATGTAGGAGGACATGCCTGACCTAAAAGTAGGGGCGCACATCGGCTCAGCACGCGGCAAGGGGCGCATCCGAGCCTCGGGGCCGCTGCCCCCTTGGGGCGATATGGTGCCCGCAGCGCTGGCGCCCCGCGGGGAGGCCTCGGCACGGAGCTGCGGCACCGACGAGCTGAGCGCATGCCTGGGCAGGCATCGGAGGGCACAAACTCTGCACCGACACCGATCCCGGCCAGGATCACCCTGCGCCCAGGATCGGTGTATATGCCTTTTATGGCCCAAGGGTGGAGGGCGTATACACCGATCCTGGGCCCAGGGTGATCCTGGCCGGGATCGGTGCTGGTGTATAGTTGTTGCCTTGCTAAGGCGCGCCCTCCGCACTGCGCGGCGGCGTTGGCTGGCCGCGCACGGCGTGAGGGCGGCGAGTGCGCCGCGAGGTGCGGTGAGCCCGCCGCCGGGGCAGCTTCTTCAGGAGTTCGTTTTTTTTGTTTGATTGTTTTTTCCCAACCCTCCTGAATAGAGCAGTGTGGTCTCCACCTCCCCCTCCTCCTCCTCCTCCTTCTCCTCTCCTCCTCTCCTCCTTCTCTCCTGTCTCCTGTGTTCCCTTCTCCTCTTCTCTCGTGCCGTTTGCGATCTGCGCAACTGTCGCCACGTTCGTGGGCTCCTGGGAGGCCCAGCGGAGGTACGTCCCACGCGGATCACCTCGGTACCTCGCCGCCCCCTGGGGGGGCTTGCGATCTGCGCCACTTTCGTGGGCTCCTGGGAGGCCCAGCGGAGGTACGTCCCACGCGGATCACCACGGTACCTCGCCGCCGCGGCCGCCCCCTGGGGGGCTTGCGATCTGCGCAACTGTCGCTACTTTTGTGGGCTCCTGGGAGGCCCAGCGGAGGTACGTCCCACGCGGATCACCTCGGTACCTCGCCGCCCCCTGGGGGGCTTGCGATCTGCGCAACTGTCGCCACGTTCGTGGGCTCCTGGGAGGCCCAGCGGAGGTACGTCCCACGCGGATCACCTCGGTACCTCGCCGCCCCCTGGGGGGGCTTGCGATCTGCGCCACTTTCGTGGGCTCCTGGGAGGCCCAGCGGAGGTACGTCCCACGCGGATCACACGGTACCTCGCCGCCCCCTGGGGGGCTTGCGATCTGCGCAACTGTCGCTACTTTTGTGGGCTCCTGGGAGGCCCAGCGGAGGTACGTCCCACGCGGATCACCTGGTACCTCGCCGCCCCCTGGGGGGCTTGCGATCTGCGCAACTGTCGCCACGTTCGTGGGTTCCCGGGAGGTCCAGCGGAGGTATGTTCTCACCTCGGTACCTCGCCGGGGGGGGCTTGCGATCTGCGCAGTCTAGCCCAGCGGAGGTACGTCCCACGCGGATCACCTCGGTACCTCGCCGCCCCCTGGGGGGCTTGCGATCTGCGCAACTGTCGCCACTTTCGTGGGCTCCTGGGAGGCCCAGCGGAGGTACGTCCCACGCGGATCACCTCGGTACCTCGCCGCCCCCTGGGGGGCTTGCGATCTGCGCAACTGTCGCCACTTTCGTGGGCTCCTGGGAGGCCCAGCGGAGGTACGTCCCACGCGGATCACCTCGGTACCTCGCCGCGCCCTGGGGGGCTTGCGATCTGCGCAACTTTCGCCACTTTCGTGGGCTCCTGGGAGGCCCAGCGGAGGTACGTTCCACGCGTCAGTACCTCGCCGCCCCCTGGGGGGCTTGCGATCTGCGCAACGGTCGCCACTTTCGTGGGCTCCCGGGAGGCCCAGCGGAGGTCGTCCCACGCGGATCACCTCGGTACCTCGCCGCCCCCCGGGGGGTGCTTGCAATCTGCGCAACTGTCGCCACTTTCGCGGGCTCCTGGGAGGCCCAGCGGAGGTACGTCCCACGCGGATCACCTCGGTCTTTCGCCGCCCCCTGGGGGGCTTGCGATCTGCGCAACTGTCGCCACTTTCGTGGGATGCCGGGGGGCCCAGCGGAGGTACGTCCCCCGCGGATCACCTCGATACCTCGCCGCCCCCTGGGGGGCTTGCGATCTGCGCAACTGTCGCCACTTTCGTGGGCTCCTGGGAGGCCCAGCGGAGGTACGTCCCACGCGGATCACCTCGGTACCTCGCCGCCCCCTGGGGGGGGCTTGCTATCTGCGCAATTGTCGCCATTTTCGTTGGCCCCTGGGAGGCCCAGCGGAGGTGCGTCCCACGCGGTGACTGGGTGCTCTTGCTTATCCTCGAGGCCGCGACCTTTTGCTTCCACTTTTGGGTTCTTTTCTTTGGGTTCGCTGTCGCGCCCTTTTGTCTCCACTTTTGGGTGAGTCTTCGATCCCGTTATGCACCTCATACATTTGCCTTTTTCAGCGCAGCGCGTTGCTGAGTTAAACCGATGATCTGGTTTAGCCCTCGCCGCCCCCGCTTGTGTGTTCGCTGTTCCATGTGTTTTCCATGTGTTTCCATGTTGTATGTTCGCTGTTCCTCTTCTTGATGCTCTCTTCTGATTTCACTCCTGAGTGCTCTTCTTGCGCACTGTGGGTCCTTCCGAATGCCAGTCAGCAGTGAGTGGTCCCGAATATAAACGCCACGTGTATAAAAAAGGGTAGGGTACGTCGCTGGGTAACTTTCCCAACCATCCTGGGTCCTCGTTTTGAAGACACGGTCCCTGCGTCTCCTCCTCCTGTGCCACCCCCCCAGCGGGGGGTGCCACATGCGTCCGCCAAGCCCAGTCTAGCGCTTCGTGGCCCCATAGGGAGTTCCACCTGCGGCCCCCGTGGGGCGGGGACACATGCGTCCGCCACACCCAGTACGGCGCTTCGTGGCCCCAGAGGGAGCTCCACCGAAGCCCCCAGTGGGGGTGGCCACATGCGTCCGCCACACCCAGTATAGCGCTTCGTGGCCCCACAGGGAGCTCCACCTGCGGCCCCAGTGGGGGTGGCCACATGCGCCCGCCACACCAAGTACGCCCCATTGGGAGCTCCACGAAACGCCCCAGTGCGGCTGGCCACACGCGTCCGCCACACCCAGCACAGCGCTTCGTGGCCCCATAGGGAGCTCCACCGAAGGCCCCAGTGGGGGTGCCCACATGCGTCCGCCACACCCAGTACAGCGTTCCGTGGCCCCATAGGGAGCTCCACCTGCGGCCCCAGTGGGGGTGCCCACATGCGTCCGCCACACCCAGTACAGCGCTTCGCGCCCCCATAGGAAGCCCCACCGAAGGCCCCAGTGGGGTTGGCCACATGCGTCCGCCACACCCAGTACAGCGTTTCGTGGTCCCAGAGGGAGCCCCTCGCAAGGCCCCAGTGGGGGTGCCCACATGCGTCCGCCACACCCAGTACGGCGCTTCGTGGCCCCAGAGGGAGCTCCACCGAAGCCCCAGTGGGGGTGGCCACATGCGTCCGCCACACCCAGTACAGCGTGTCGTGGCCCCACAGGGAGCTCCACACAAGGCCACAGTGCCCTCCTTCTCTTCCTCGAGGTCGGGTTCCCGGGGCCGCCGTCTGAGTGCCCGCACGGCCCTCGTGGGCTGCTGTGGCGCCCTCCGCGTTCCGGGCGCACGTGAGACGCTGCTCGGAGCGAGAAACGCAGAAACGCAGGAACGCAGGAGAAGGAGAAGGAGAAGGAGAAGTAGGAGGCGGAGGCGGAGGCGGAGGCGAAGGCGGAGGCGGAGGAGGCGGAGGGCATCCGCCGAACGAAGTTGTCGATGCTTATGCCGCTTATTATTCGCTTGCGCGCAGGAGGCCGTGTTGCTCTACGGCCAGGACCGCTACCCGTTCGTCGGCGCCATGGCCTCCGTCCTCGAGGAGCCAGCCGGCGCCGACCTGGGCAAGCTGCACGAGGGCAGGCTGGGGCGGGAGATCCTCGAGAACTTCCGGCGCCAGCCGGCCATGCTGAACCTGGGGCCGCGCGGGAATCCGTGGCACTCAGAGGTGGAAAAGCTGCCTGATGCCGCTGCCCCGTCCTCGTTCCGCTTTTCGGGGGCCTCCTTGGAGGCTCTCGTCGCCACGGTTGGATTCGCGTCGACATGTCGATCAGAACGCACCAAGGAAGAGGTCCGTGGAGTAGCGGCATCTGTGCTTTTATGCCCCCCCCCAGGCACAGCCGCTTCCACAGCCCGAGGAAGAAAGAACGGGTCAGACCTACAGTTTCGAAGGTCCGCGCGGATTTCTTGGAACGGTTCTGAGCCTCCGGCGCCGCCCTCGACGCACTCCGCGCGCCAGGCAGGGGGGCCAGCGCAGATCCAAGGAACCTGCGTGGATCGGCGAAAGTGTGTGTTCATTCCGTGCTCACTTGCTCCAACAGCTGTGCTAAGCGAGACCCTGAGGCCTTCGAGGCTTTCACGCAGCTGTACCACGACTTCGTCCGCTGCTTCGTGCTTGACAACCTGGAGACCAACGCGGTGGCATTCCAGAAGCAGCCCACCTTCAGGTGTCATTTGCCCGACTGCGGTGCTCCTGGACGGCCGCACCGTGACGAGGACTACAAGCACCCTTGCTGCGAGCTAAACTTCTGGGTGCCCGTGACACTCGTGTTTGACAGCAACGGCCTCTATGCGGAGTCCAGCCGAGGGGCTGGAGACTTTAGGCCATTCCAGGTGTCTGTGGGTAGCTGTGTTCGCTTCTACGGCAACCAGGTGTGGCACTACTGCGCGCCGAACGAGACTGATACGACCAGAGTCTCCTTCGACTTCCGGGTCATCCGTGAGGAGGAGTGGTCGCCCGCTGCGTTCGGCTACCCTTTCCAGCTGGGCGAGTATTTCTCCGTCATGACCCGGGAGGGCCTCTTGCCCCCCAATTCGGTGGAGATGCTGGAGCTGCGGGAGGCCTACCAGTGCGCCCTGCCGTTCGGAAGCCGTCTGAAGATGAGGGACGCCGGCGCCCGGGAGGCTGACGTATCGCCTCGACTCGAGAAACAGGCAGGTGCCAAAGCAGCAGCAGGTGAGCAGGAGCAGAAGGCCGTCATCATCCGCACATGTTGGTGCTATGTGCCGTCGCCCCCCCAGGGGCGACGCGTGCGCTCAGAAGTCGTCCAGTACATTCTCGGTGGTGGGCGCGTTCTGGCCATGCCGCCTGGGTGGCGATGCGATGTAAAACAAGATGTTTGTAATACAGTGAGCGGCTTGAGTGAGGAACGCTTACTTTTCAAAAGGGGCTCGGTCGTTCCTCAGGCTTGCATGCGTTATTTTACAGTTCCTTATGCGTGATTTGTTATTTATCGTTCCGTATGCGTTATTCCTTATTTACCGTTCCTTATTATTTATCGTTCCTTATTTATCCTTATTTATCGTTCCTTATTTATCCTTATTGATCGTTCCTTATTTATCGTTTTTGGGATAAAAAAGGGGCTTCGTTCCTTTATTTATCGTTCCGTAGGTCAGGCCGATGACTGTGGCATCTTGAGCTCGGACGTGCGCCTCCCGGGCGGGAGCATAGCAGTATTAGCATGTCCTTCTCTGTGCCCCGAGCAGGGGCGTGGGAGGACGCGGGGCGCCGACACGCTCTGCGTACTCCAGATTTCGTAATAAAGGGAGGGGGGTCTCATTTCGGGGGGGGTCTTATCTTGGAGGGCCTGGGGGGTCTGGGGACGACGTTTTGGAGGGTTCTCCCACGGGGGGGGGTCTGAAATGGCTTGTCTTGGACGGTCCAGACCCCCTCCCTTTTATTACGAAATCTGGAGTATGTCGTTTGATGCTTCCTTGGCATCGCTCGGACGTGTGCAGTTTTCCTTCGGCGAGGACCATCGAGGAGCATCCTTGATCACTTCGCGAGAAAGCCACGCACGGAACCGAACAAAAAAACACAGGGAATGGGCGTCCGAGCGATGGCCAGCTTCTGATCGAAGCGGTTGGGCTTCGCGGGCTCTGGAAGCGGCATGGCATGTGTTTTGCCGTTTCAGAACAGGATGCTTCTGGAACGTGAAAAGAAGAAGCGGTGTTACGGGGAACAATCATTGCGCCGGCGTTGGCAGCACACATTTCAGAGTGGAGCCTTTTCAACAAATGGCCTGTCGCTTCTAGGGCCCTCAGCCAACAGATTGTGTTCACGCCGTGCGTTTCTTCTGGTTTTCGGTGGGGGGCGTTGATTACATAATGTGGCAAGGAGGATTCCTTATCTGGTGAGAGCTGCGGTGATATCTAAGTCTATGGCCACTTCACGAGTGGATTCGTTATCCAATGGTTCCTTATCCATTTCCGTAGCCATTTTGGCTCAAGCGGCCCGAGCAAACACGGGCCCCTGCCGTACAACAAACGAGTTCATAAGCACATCGATCATCTCTGAACGATGGCACCCACAATCGACGCCAAGACAAACTTCGCGAGCGCTGAACTTCGCGAGCGCCAGGCCAAACTCCGACGACACCGACAGCCTGGACGACAGGCGCCCGGCGTCCGATGAGCCCCTGGCCGAGTCCTGGGCCGACCTCGAGGACGACGACGAGCCGCTCGTCGGCAAGCCGGGTGGCAGCGCCGGCGCGGGCGCCGCCGCCGCGCTCCCGGGCCGCCGCCCCGCCTTGACACGAGCGGCGCCGGGGGCTGAGGAGGAGGAGGAGGAGGAGGAGGAGGAGGAGGAGGAGGAGGAGGAGGAGGAGGAGGGAGGAGGAGGAGGGGGAGGAGGAGGAGGAGGAGGAGGAGGAGGAGAAGGTGCTGTTGCTCGGGATGTGCAGGCCGCCCGAGGCCGGCAGGCCGCCCGAGGCCGGCAGGCCGCCCGCGCCGGCGGCCGCCCCGGCCGGGCAGGGCGGCGCGCTGGCAGCGGGCGCCCAGGCCCGCGCGCCGCTGGCAGCGGTCGCAGCCGCCCGCAGGCCCCTGAGCTCGAAGGCCAGGCCGTTCGCGCCGCAGCCGTTCGTCCCCGGGTGCTACCCAGCGGCCGCTCCCGCCATGCGGAGTCGCAACCGAGCCCGTGGGCGGCTGGTTCGAGGCAGAGGCGGAGACGGAGGAGGAGGGGCGGACCACCGTAATGCTGTGCGGCTTCCCCCGGAGCTACGACCGCGACGAGCTGGTCGACCTGCTGGACGCGCGCGGATACTCCGGCATGTCTGATTTCGTCTACCTGCCGACGGAGCTTGAGTAGTCGGAGTGCGTCGGCTACAACAGGCAGCTGCGTCCGCGCCTTGAGCGAGGACACGCGTGGATAACGGGGCGAAGCCACCTTCATCTGAGGGCTGGTCTCGGTGGAGTTCTGCAACGACGAGAATCGCCAGCAGGAGCGTGAGCTGGGCCGTGCTGTTCTTCATGATGCTGTTGCCCTGTGCTGACGGCGTCAAGACGGGCCTCAACGTGACCACAGAGTGCTACAACTCCACGGTATGCCAGGGCCTCAAGGCGTGTACATTTACAAGGAGCTCGACTTTCTTGGGGGGAGCTTGTCGGGGTACATGTTTCACTATCTAGTTCTTATGGGAAAACTTGCTATGTGCCTGGGGCGCGTGCGCATGTGGCAGGCGTGGTGTAGCAGTCATAGGCGTAAGACTGCCCCACAATACGATTCATCATATCGTTTCAACTGGTTTTGCTTGGCTCGAGGCGGACTGTGTCCAGCGCTCGGCGAGCAGGACCTGCACGCTGCCGTGACCCTCGAGGGCGAGGTGATCACGGAGACTGTCGCAGGCTTCGAGGGCGAGGCTTTCTTCGACTACTCCTTCCTCTTGTACTTCCCGGTGCTGCGCTTTTGTGGCGCTGGAGGCGGCTCCGCCGTCCTCTCCAGCGCACGCTGCGCCAGGGATACCACCATCTGGCTCATGCTGCCTCGCGTCTGCGCTTGGGGCAGGAGCAACACCTTCGGCTGCACGAGACTGGACCTGTACGTCCACACCGTTACGGCCAGCACGACCACGCAGCAGTCGATGATGCAGATCGTGCTGCATTCTGTATCTTACGGCGCGTGCGGCATGCTGGACGCCAGTGCGTTCACCTGGGTGGAGTTCTTTTTCACCCAGTTCGACTATTTCTTCATCTGGGTGCTGTTCTTCTTCATCCAAGACGACTCCTTCTGCGGCAATTTCAGCCTGGGCGCTGTGCTTCTTCATCTGGGTCGACTCCTTGTTCACATGGGTACTGTACTTCTTTATCCAGGTCGAGTCCTTTGGCGACGATTGCGACATCTCCCGCGCGACCGACATGGCGCTGTGCCACACCCTGACGGGCAGCACGGCCGAGCGCCCAGGCAGCCGAGTCCGCTGGGTTCCCTGCTCCGAGGAGGAGGCGAGCGTGACCAAGCCTTCTCGTGGCTGGCCTCCAGGAGCTTCTGTCGAAGTTCTCGGGCCCTGCCGCCGGACCATTGGCGGCCAAGGCCAAGGAGGGGGCACCGAAATCCTTTGGCCCCCGGGCCTCGAAAACCAAACGCGGGAAAGCTCAACGACAGAGAAAGGACGCTGGTCGGAGCCCTGAGGCGTGTCGTGGAGCGCACCAAGCAGACACGGCCGACGCCCTATTGGCCAAGCTCCGGCGCCTCATCACCGCCGCCTCGGAAGGCAAGCTCGCCAGGAAGCCCGCCAAGGCTACTTCTGAACCTGCGTCGAAGGCGACTGCCAAACCGAAGGCGGCTGCCAAGCCGTAGGCGGCACGGCAACCGGCCGAGCGACTGCTGGGCTTGGCGTCTTCACCCTTGCCAGCGCGCACCTCGCCACCGAGTTTTTCACCTACTAAGCTGCGTCCTGAGCACTGGCACGGGAAGCTCGCTGAGGACGGGGTCAACTCGTTCTTCACGGTCCATGCAAATGAGCACGTTGTTTACGGAATCGTCCACAAACCTCCCGACGGCCTGGCTAACCACGCTCCCTCAGGTCGCTACTATTTCGGTGCGTCTGGACCGTACTGCTGATGGTGTTGTGCACATTCGAGCGTCTGCGCTCGAAGACAAGGGTATGCCCAAAGTCGTTCCTGTGTATCTTTTGCAGCTTGGCAAAGTCGTGGACGTCCTCAGGTGGAGGGCCCAGACGGGTCAGCCGCCACTGCCAGCGGCCAAGCCGACGCGAGTGGTGCGACTCGTTTGTTTTTGAACATTGCTTTCTGACAAGGAGTGGAAGGAGCGTTCCAAGAACATCAAGTCTGCGGCGAAGCACTGGCTTGCCAACCTCCAGGTGCCGACCGACGACATAGTGGACATCCTCGGCCCGCGCAAGTCCGAAGACGGCAACATCATCTCCGTGAACGTCCGCGTGGCTACGTCACGTGATGCAGCCATTGATGCAGCCAGTAGCGTCGCAGGGATGCTGGCACGGCTTCTTCCTGATGGTCCCACGGCCACGCCCACTTTCGGCGACGTGCTGTGGATCAAACGGCAGGAGGGTAAGGCAGGCGTCGCTTTCCGCAGCCGCGCTCGCGCCGAAGCTGAGAAGGACTCGCCGTGCCTCGGCCTGGCTTTCTCCAACTCGGGCTCGGTGGGCCTGCGCAGAACTGGTGGCCGGCAGGCCACGTCTTGGAAGGTATCTGGACTGCCCAAGGCTTCAGCTATTCCTCAGCTTGCTGCTTGGCTCAAGTGCAGCGGCTGGCCTGACATTAATTAGTCGACGGTGCGACGTCGAGCATCCGGCAAGAAGGATAAGGAGGTTGGCGAGCAAACTGCCTCATTCATCGTCCGCGGCGTCAATCCTGGACGGGCGAACGCGGCTACGACGGTCGAGACGACCGCTGGTGGCGAATCGATCTTCGCGGACTTCGAGCCGTTCCGCCCGGCACAGAAAGCGCTTGCTTTACGCAACCTTTGGGACAGTGGTCTGCGATGGGCCGTGCCCAAGCCTGCGGCGGACACTTCGGCGCAGGTCAACCAATCTCACCTCGCGACCAAGGAGGAGCATGAAGCCAAACGTCAGCGTGGCCTCGATGGCGCCGCCGCGCCCGCGGCCGGCGGGGGGCCTCCCCAAGAGGAAGTCTTCGCGTCTTCACCACGCTCGGCCGCGCGGTCAAGAAGGTGCCCAAGG